GAAGCAGACGAACTAGCAATCCTCAACAACTTTTTAGTTTTTACACCAGAAGCCAAAGGTCTGTTTCAGGAAATCAGATCTGCAGCAATCAGTGGTTGTAGAATTAAGCTATAAGAGAATTCATACACCACTAGTTGGCAGTATTGTGCATATATTGTACATGAATTATTGCCAACTAGTAAGTGTCAAATTGAACTTGTGCTTTAAAATTAGCTTCCGCTAGTTTTTCTATGGCATAAGTACTTTTGAAGTTGTGGACCTAAATATTTTCTTAAGCGCTTTAGAAATTGCGGAGCTAACATTTGGATTAGCGCTGCCCACCACTGATAGCAGGGTTTTCATCCAGCAGAATCATACAAACTCACCCAGCGTTTGTCCTGCCAGCACCCTGCCGTTCTCCCCAATCACGGCCCCCCGGGCGTGCCTCTCGCTGGCGTACTGGACGAAGGCGTAGCCTTTGTGCACAGAGCARCCCAACACCCGGCCATACTTGGAGAAGATGCTCTCGACATCCGACTTATTCACCACGGCCGTGTTCAAGTTGCCGATAAACACCCGGGAGTTGATGGACTTGGGGTCGGTCTTGTTCGTCACGTTGCTGGTCTGGACCTTCAGCGACATGCTCGGCTGGGGGAGGCAAAYGACTCGGACAACGGACGGATGTGTCAGAGGCGGCGGGAGGTTGGAACACAGATCTGAGAAGAAGAGAAAGAAAAACTGTTGGTCATYGCACAGGACCAAGAGCTGGAGGCATTTTTAATAAACTGAACACCAGTGGAGGGATGGATTTATGACAAATATGCTAAATCAGTATAAATGYGTTTAGACAAACAGCATTCAAAGCTTGTTGAACCCACAAGGTTGTTGTTTAGATGTAGAATTTCCTTTTAGACTGTAGAGCTGGTTTACGCAACCTACATTGGGGGGGGGGGGCCTCATTGGTGGGCATGATGACAGCCCTTCATCAGAGCTAAACAACAAAAAAATCCAGGGGATTCTGATGTTATCAGTCCATGAAATGGACGTTATTAGGTGTTATCAGTCCCATACAATGGCTTCAGAGGGTCCCTACTGTGCCTTCTAGGCTTCAGGCTGTCCCRACAGTGCCCCCTAGTGGGTTAATATATCAATGACAATGAATGTGTAAATAACCAAAATATATTGTAATAAATTTTTTGTGTCCATATCAGTTTTGAACCCTACTCTACCCATTACCCTATTGGAAGCCCACAAAATACAACCGTTGGAGGACGGTGTCTTTAGTGCTAACCATGTCATTTGCTCTAAAGTTAACCTTAGTAGCTTTAAGCCTCATTTTAACCATTTTTTATGCCTCATATTAACCAGCTGACAATCAGAAACCATTCTATGGGACGGGGAACCTGCAAACCGGCACAGGCGGGACATTCTGAAGCCATTCTAKGGGACTGATAACRCCTAATAACGTCCATTTCATGGATGAAAACAACCGAAGCAGGTGCAAAAATCTGAAGCTCCTATGTTGAATAGTTCTTGAGTTACAAGCATTTTTGTTTGTCCAGATACCCCCTTTTCAGATGGAGCCCCCTCCTCATTCATGAGGTTTATCATAAAACCATGATTTCAATCAACATTTCATGTTGATTGGTGCAGCCAATTCCGTGATACGGTTGACCAAAAATTACAAAAATAAATTAATAATGACTAAAAATAAATAGAACAACAACAAAACAAAAACAACATTTTGCAACACTTCAGGTTGCTGACAACTCTGCAACCAGAAGTTCTGTAATTGAAAAAAAGAACGAACAGTTCCAGAGAAATCAGAACATGAGAAATAAAACAGAGGAGTGGGTAAAAAAAACAGACTTCTAATGACCAGAGGGTTGATTCTGATCAGACCAACTGCAGCAGCAGCAACAGCTGCTTTATCAGAGGCACCAGATCAGTCGATCAGAGCAGAATTTGCCGAACAGAACTCACTCCGTCCTCATCRCACAGCGTTCCGGCTCGATAACTAACGAGCACAAGCTGAGCAGATTCAACAGGACGGGGAAAAGATGAAGGACATCAGAGAAGAGCAGCGGAGATAAAGGATAATTGGAGGAAACTGACACAAAGTGAAGAATTTCAACCAGAGGAGAGAGAGAGGAATAAGCAAAAATGTATTTCAGAGAATAAAAACAAACTAAGAGTTAAATAAAAATTAAAAGACGAAGRCAGTTACAGAGAAGAGACGACAGCAGAACCAAACAACAATAAACAGGAGTGCTTTATGCTGAAAAATGTTTTCTGAAAGTTGCTGAAGGAGTTTAAGTCGAGCTGAAAATGTTTAAAGCAGAACAGTTAATGTGAGTTAAATTACAGTTAACTTTGGCTGAAAGTAAGAAAACAAAACAGAAAATTGTTGAAAAAGAAAACAAGCAAAAATGCTAAAAAAAAAAAACTGAACAGAGCAGAAATGCACCAGAAATAATAAATATACAGAAAAGTAGCTTAAAATGCAGAAGAAAGTTGAAACTACCAGAAAGAATTTGCAAAAATATGTGAATTTACAAACATTAAAAAATAAGTTGAAATTTAGACAAAAGCAGTTAAATATGCAGAAAAACGACAAACATGTGACTTCACCTTTTGTTTTGTGACCTTGAAATTAAAATAGGTCATCACTGAAACAGCATGTTTGC